GGCTCCGCTCCGGGCTCGGGCTCAGTCCCCGCCGCTGCTGTGCCGGGCTCCGCCTCAGCGCCGAGAACTGCGCCCGTGAGTGCCGGGCCGGGCTGGGGACGCGGGGCCGAGCGCCCGGCGCTGTCCCGGCTCGGGGGCGGCGGTGCGGGGCGGGGGCCGCGGCCGCGGTGGGGAGCGCGGTGCACCGGGACGGGCGGGGAGCGGGGCAGGTGCCGGCCGGGACAGCGGGGCCGTGCCGGGACAGAGGGGCCGTGCCGGGCCGGGCACAGCGAGCGGCGCCCCCGTGTGCGGGTGGGATGGGACAGGTGTTCCCGGGGTCCCGTTCCCGGCCGGGCTGCGGGTGGGAGCCGCGGTGCCCGGCGGTGATCTCTGGCCCGGAGGATGTGGGACCTGCGGGCTTTGCTTCGGGCCGGGAGGGGAGCGGGTCCTGCTGCCCCACGGGGAGGGAGGCACAGCTGGGACTGTCCTTTGGGGTGGGGTGAGGCCGGACTCGGGTCACTTGCAGGGAGGGAGGCAAAACGGGTTAATTTCCAGCATCTTTGCTGAATCACTGTAAACCGGTGGCGAGTTCTTGTACCGCGAACTCCCTGGTTCCTCTGGGATGGAAACAGGCACTTCCCGGCTCCTGCTGAAACCCTGGGCCCCTCTCTGGGCTTTCAGGGGGGATTTCTGCCCCATCTTGCTGTCACTTCTTGGTCCGTGTGTGTGCTGAGCCCCATCAGTGTGTGCGGGRAGGCTCCGTGTTTCTGACATCTGCCCGCCGCAAAACTGTTTAGAGATGTGTTTCCTCGCAGGAAAAACGCCAGTTAATGTCACAGAAGCAAAGTACATGTATAAAATCTACTTATTATCACAGTACCTGGTAGCCTGGGTGCCCTGAGCTTCTTCAGCAGGAGTAGGTTGGATATAAGAGACTCTCTTTGGGTCTATGAGAGGAGTGCCAAAGTCATGTCGGGATGTGGGCTCTTCCAACAAGAAGCAATTAAAATAAAGGTTTGGAATCTGGACTTAAAACAGGATGTCATAGAGCTCCTCGGGGGAGGGAAGGAAGCTTCAGGAGCTTGGAATTTATAGTGAAGCAATTAAACTACAAGGAGTGAAAATGCTGAATGGCTGGTGTAAGCGTTTTTCCGTCCTGCCTGAGGTAAAGATGAGTATTAGTAAAAAACAACTCAAGAAAAGCAAAAACGAAGTTCACTTTTAATRAAYTACCTTAGTCATTATAAACTTGACRGGTRGAAGGCGATAGGTGCTTTCTTTAGTGAAGCTGATCTGCTAAATTACCAGATTTGGTAACTGGTTGTTTTGAGAGCAACCAGGCTAGGGTAGCACAGAGCTGGAACTGCAGACTGTCGGCTCACTGTAGTTTGGTGGAGAACAGTCAACACTGGTGCTGCTCAGTGTTTGTCAGTTCAGGTGAGTCACTAAAGATTTACAGTAAGAACTTGTCTTTTAAATGTTCTGGGTGGCTGAAAAGAGAGAGATTGTCCCTGCACAGYRTAACAGTGCTGTTRGATGGAGTTTCTTCTCWTCTTGTGAGATCTAAGTKTGAGAGGCAGGGAGCTCATGAAGGGGGTGAGTAGCTGAAATGCYRAGKGTATGTTGGAGCCTTTGSTTGYTCTTTTTCATTTTGACGTTGCCATTGCTAGAATTCCTTCTGTCTCTCCATTGACCTAGAAATCAAAGGTAACKCTTGAGGCTGAACAGCCCATGCTATAATATTGTTACCAAACTGCCCATGAAAGACTATTACCAAGACTAAATCCCTTAATTCTTTTGTTGGAAAATGAGATGAAGAACATTCAGAGCAAATCCAGTGGCTGTGCCCCTTGACTTAGAACTTCTGGGTGTATTTCTGTTSCTCCTTTGAGTAACTGTGTGTTACACCCGTGCAGGTGGTGTGTAGCYTGCAGTCCCAGCAGTGCAAATGCCTGGCAATGCTGCTGGCATCCCGTGGCCTGGCCTGAGCCTGTGTGTGTGTGTCTCTGTGTGTGTGTTCACAGATGCAGACATTCATCTGCCTCTTAATTGCTTTCTTTGAATTTCAGCTTGCAAACTGGTTTGCAGCTCTGTTCTGGGAGAAGCCCTGCTGAAGTTAGTGGCGCTACCTGTTGCAGCAGTGTTGCTGATAAACAGCCTTGTAATCCTCTGAGTCATAACATATGAAATAAGAGTGAGCATTTTATAAATGCAGGTATCCAGTTTGGTGTGTCGAGTACAAAGTGATGACTTGAGTGCTTTTCTTGTTTCTCATTGTGCCTCTSCAGTTCCAGCTGTGCTGGGCTGTGGCAAGAGCCCCAGTGACCTTGTCACTGCTGTGTGTCCTCTCCCTGCACGCAGAGCAGCATCACCACAGCACGACTGTGGTTTGACACCATCCGTGCACTTCTGCTCCACCAGAGAGGGACATCCTGTTTGGCTTAACTGTGTCAGCAGTTTGTCTGACTCAATTTCACTTTAAATACTTCTAATGGTTATCAAAGGTAGGCTGCCTTGGAATATGGCTGCATGTTATCTGTTATTTGCTGTCTGGACAGGAGTAGGAGCATTGGTGARGCTGTCCCTGTGTGCAGTCCATTGGTGTGTGACACAAGGACAGAGCTGGCTTGAGGCTGCCTGTGCTGGGGGATGGATGGAGTGCCTGCCCACCCCCTCTGATCATCACTGGATTCCATTCAGCAAGATTTAAAGCATCATTGAAAGGGCACATGTCACGAAGCTTGTCTGTCCTCAGCCTTGCTGTGATGTGGTTGGTGAGTCCTTAGCTCAGGTTGTACCCAAACTAATCTACTTTCACCTGTGAAGTTGTCTAGAGATTCAGAGCTTCCAGGGCAATGAGGGAAGCAGCAGAGAGTTGGGAACACACTTTAGGATGGCCTTCTGGTACCATCCCTTCTYACGGCACATCTCACTCCAGCGCTGCTTTGCCAGGGATGTCTGTGTGTGCTTCGTGGTTCTGGGTCCTTACACAAAGGTCACTGAGATTTCTCCATGCCCTTTCTRTGTTGAGGGCTGGGTTTGTTTCAGATAATTGCTCTCGTAAATTATTCACTCCAGTTTYACACAGCAGTGCTGTGATCAAAGATTAATTCGTGCCTTTGCACAGGCTTGCAGTGTCATCTCTCCCAGAGGAAGTCTTGATTCTTCGTAGTGGACTTACATGCTGACCAAAGTAACATCATATTCACCAGTTAAAAAACACTGATGGACATCTCTCTCTGTCTTGGAAATGTTCTGGATGTATAATTTGAGTTAATTTTATTAAGACTGCAGATCTCTTCTGTTGTAATTACTAGTGAKGTTTCTGGATGGCTGCATCATCTTACTTTCAAGTGATTATCAGAAATCTGTACCAGTCTCATAAGGTTTTAATGCATCTGCATGTCATCTTGGTCTTGTACTTTGCCAGAATAACACCTTGAAGGGCTGTAATTTTAAAGGTCTGGTCTGTTGCTAAAAGTTTACAAGATGTACTTGAGTGACAAGTAAAAAAAAACTAAAAAAAACCAAAAACCCAAAGAACCCCCAACCCTGACAGAATTCACTTCTTGATTTGTAAGGAGTTTAAAAATATAATTAGAGGTTGGCAAAAGAGCTGGTGTTCCAGGTTTATCTGCTGTCAGGGGGTGTGCTTTAATGTACTCTCTGTAATTTGTAAAAACAGGATCCTGGTATGGCTTGTTCTGTATCTTAGTATTCCTTAGTCTTCTGTTGTCTGACCTCACTATTTTCATACACTGATTTTGTTCTTTTTAATCCACCTGAGATGCAGCTGGGGCTGTGCTGTGCTGCTGGGCCCYAAAGGCCTGACCTGCTGCCCACTGTTGTGCCCATGCTGTGGATTTGGCCACAATTTTTGGATTTTAACTCAAGGGCACAGGGCAGCAGGGCACAGAGGGGTGGCATGTGTTSCCGTGTTCTGTGGTGAATGAAACCAAGCTCATTTCCTAGGAATGAGAAGGGCAARTTATCTTTCTCGTTTGGGAATTAACTGTGAGCCTTCAGTTGTTTGGGAATRTGGGGCTCTGGCTTGGCTAAATCCTTGTGCTGCCTTTAGCTGGGTGGCTGTGTGTTCAAGTTTGTTAGTAAAAAGGATGGGACCAGAAGTCTTGGGAACTCTGTGGTCTTTTAAGATGTAAAAATAAACAAAGCTGAGAAGCTCTACCCTACTTAAAACAGGCTGACCTAAATTTTCAGCAATTCTAGCAGAGAGGCAGGCTCTGGGTAGGGATAAAGGCTTACTGATGACTGGCTTCCCTGTGCTTCCATTGCTGGATATGGTTGACAGGCCACCTTTGGCAAATCAACACTGGTGTCTGAGGTCATTTTCTTCCCCGCTCCCTGAGTTGCACAACCCGGYTGTGGATTTGCCTTGTGCTCATGTGGACAGTCCCCTTGTTATGCAAGTCAACAGTTCAGCATCTTCTGGGAAGTCACAGCATGAATCTCTTCTCAAATTGCTTTTGTTGGAGTGTGTTGACAACATGTTTGATGTCCTCTGGCTTGTCCCTACAGAGATTGCTTTTGAGAGTAGGTGTCTGGGAAGTCCATTCATGCTCTTTGTCTGTAGATTAATGTTCTTGCTCTCAGTTGCAGTTCTCCACTACTGAATTATTAATTCGGCAGTGAGAGTTTTTTTCKTCTTACTGTTCATTGACTTTCATGCTTGATTTAGTCTTCTGAGCAGTTTGAAACTGGAGCATGGGAATGTTGACTAATATTAACAGATCACGTGTGTGACCTCAGTGGTGGCTAAATAAACTTTTTAATTGGCAAAATGACATCTGTCTTTCAAATATTCTTTCAGAGTTTCCAGGTGAAAGGTTGTTTGTGAATGTGTATTACGTTCAGAGCCACTTTGTTACTCAAGAAAATTGGGATGCTCAGGCAGCTGGTGGAGTGGTTGTCTGTGTGCTCCAGAGGCAGTCCTGTGGGTAGTGTGATGGGAGAAGGAGGGAAAAGTGGGTTTGCAGATTCTCCTGCTGAATGCTCTCCTGGCAGAGAGCCTGCCTTTGATTGGAAAGCACTCCCCTTGGTGTTCTTGTAGGTACTGATGGTCTGCCATGTTTTGTTCTGTGTTTGTCTGTGCTTTTTCCTGCAGGGAGATAAGAGGAGGCGAATCSTGTGTCCTTTCAGCAGCCTTCTGTTAACCTTGGAATACCACGGTTCAAGCACTTGAACAGATGGATAATGGAGACTGGGGATATATGGTGAGTGTGAGTGTGTGCTGTGCAGTACAACTGGGCTTCTCAGGTCTTGCAGCAAGAGTCCTTCCAGATCTGCCTTGTGTAGATCCAGAGCTTCAGTCATGAGAGAAGGAAAGCTATGCCTGTTAAAACAGCTTTACAACAGCTTACTCACCTTCCCTGGAGTGCTGCACCTCCKGTGCCGTTTGTGGGGAGTGCCCAGGTTCATGTTTCCTAGGGACAATCAGTCAGGACTGAACTGRTGCCTTGAGCTCACTGTTACTGTTTTCCTAACATAAAGACTGAAAATAGTTTGTACTTTCAGCTTATCATTTTAASGACTTCGTCATTTTATTTATAGAGAAAAGTGTTTTTCCTTGTAAACCTTGTCTCCAACTAGACAAGCACATCTTATTTCTCTCCTCTTCTCATTCTGCTGCCATGCATATGTCTCTTTTCTCTGGCTGGCTGCAGTCCTGGTTGTTAGAGTTGGTGGCCAGATGGGATTTATGTTCCTTTCCCTCTTGCTTCCTCATGTGCTATCTGGAATCTGATACAGACTGGTTTGTGCTCTGCCCCCCTTTTCTATGCAGCATGCTGATTTGTTAATAAATATTTCTTTGTAGAGTTAAAAGCTGAAAGTTCTTTTTGTAACTTTCCATTTTAATGAAGCCACTGAACCAAAGCATGGATTATTTTGATTGTGAGCTCTTGGTCCTATGTTTAAACTTGCATTGTCTTCCTCTTTTGAGGGAGAAAAAGAGGCCTAAAATTTGTTCAGCTGATTTTTTCTTTCCTTTCTTTTGGTTTTGRTTTTGTTCTAGAATGAGAGACAGATTGTGAAAGTAAGGAACATTGCTGGGCCTCCTTCAGACTAACTTGTTCTTCAGGAAATGTCTCTGTTCTCATTTCCCCATCTGTAGTCTAGGAAAACACTTGCTGCCCAAATGCAAAACTTGCTCCTGTGACAGTAGCTCGGTTGTTAAGATTTCTAAAGCATTCTGGAAATGTGCGTTCTGCATGCTAAGTATCATCATGTGTAGTTGCCAGTTGTGCCTTGTTGCTAGGTGGCTTGGATTTGTTCAGGTTTGARCAGCCCTTGGAGGCACTGAGCGGGAGATGTGTGAATCTCTCCAGTTTKCCAGCAGTGTTTGCCGTGTGTGTCAGCGAGGTGATCGAATCTTCTTGTTGGGGCTTGATAAACTCTGCAATTTCTCTCTTTCTAGATGACTGATCCAGTCACGCTAAATGTGGGTGGACACATGTATACGACCTCCCTCACAACTCTAACGAGATATCCTGACTCAATGCTCGGGGCCATGTTCAGGGGAGACTTCCCCACTGCCAGGGACTCTCAGGGCAATTACTTTATTGACAGAGATGGACCACTTTTCCGTTATGTTCTTAACTTTTTAAGGACCTCAGAGCTCACTTTACCACTGGACTTCAAGGAGTTTGACCTGCTCCGGAAGGAAGCGGACTTCTATCAGATTGAACCCTTAATTCAGTGTCTTAATGACCCCAAGCCGTTGTATCCTGTGGATACCTTTGAGGAGGTGGTGGAGCTGTCCAGCACCCGGAAGCTTTCCAAGTACTCCAACCCTGTGGCTGTGATCATCACGCAGCTCACCATCACGACGAAAGTCCACGCACTACTGGAAGGCATTTCAAACCACTTCACCAAGTGGAATAAGCACATGATGGACACCAGGGACTGCCAGGTGTCCTTCACCTTTGGGCCATGCGATTACCACCAGGAAGTGTCGCTCCGAGTGCATCTCATGGAGTACATCACAAAGCAAGGCTTCACGATCAGGAACACCAGGGTCCATCACATGAGCGAGCGTGCCAATGAAAACACAGTGGAGCATAACTGGACTTTCTGTAGACTGGCACGGAAAACAGATGACTGATTCTGACTCCACAGGAGCCACTTCAGTGATTAGCAACTTAATTGGACAGTAAACCCGAGAGAGTCTGGATTTTGACTAAAGCAACAATGTGGGCTTTTTTTATACGACTATTTATTGTTTATCAGTGAGGACTGGAGGAGTTTCATTCCCTATTTTGTCCAGTTCAGAAAAAAACCGTGCATGTGCCTGTTCAGTCAAGACACCTTTTTGTTTGAAAGAGGGAGTCAGAAGAATTAGTACAATAGGGTATTTTGTGTCATTAACACAATTCTCTGACTCGACTCAAAGTGCTAAAATTACCTCTGTTTAAATGGTTTCTAATTCATCTAATGCTATGACACTGGGAGCAAGAAACAAAAAAGATTTTAAAATGCAGTTGGGGAGAAGCTGCTATTGTGTAGACTAATTTAGTTTCTAAACCAATAAACAGTATTGTAATATTCTAGGAAAACAAATCCCACCCTTTAAAAGTACTTGATAAGTACAGTTTCTTACAGTTATGACAACTGTTTCTTTCTATGCATATAAATCAAGCAACCAAATATTATCTGTAGCCATGGAAATATGATTAGAAATATTTATATTGGATTCTAAATGCAAAATGTCCCTGTGGTAGAATTCATATTTTTAATGCCTGGTGCAATATTATTCCCAAGTGTAATGCCTGCCAGCAAGAAACTAATAAAAATGTGAAATACAGAGTACTGTTTTGTATTTTCTTTTTGTCTTTTACAACTCACACTCAAAAAAACCAAACCCAACCAAACACAAAAAGCCCCACCGAAATCCTGTTTTTTTGTGCTGCAGAATAGTTCAGGTGCTCTGGTAGGGCCCCGTTTTCTTCCATTCACRATGTAATTTGTTCCTTTTTATGTTAATCAGTTGATTCAAATGTCTTCATTATAGACAAAAGCTTGTGTTCTGGAAACTGCTTTAGATGGATAGAAAGATGGCAAATATTTATACTGGCTAAAGGAGTAGGGGTGGAGGGAACACAGAGCCTAAATACTTGGAGCTGCTAATAGTGTTGCCTGGTTGGTCAGCAYTTTATCTAGTGACTTTATACCTATAATTTTAACTGCAGAATGCTTTTTCTGTTGATGTTCAAGTCAAGGCACTCAGGTTCTGTGGCTTTACTCAATTTCATGAAGACATTTCCACTTATCCTGGTCCCTTTTTTGTAGTTATTAGTAGAATTTCTGKTGATGCTCTAACTTGATTACAATTGGGAGTAAGAGGGTTGGTATCTGTTTTGTGGAGTGGATCCTGTTCTCCCATGAAGTTCTTGCCCCAAGTAGTTGGGAGCCTTCCACCCCATCTCTGACTCTAAAGGCCTGTCTTGGGGGGTATTTGTCATATTTTGTCTCTTCCTATTCATACATTGCAGGTTTTGCAATAAGAGGCAGCAGTGAGAGCTTTATTCTTCCTATGAAGGAAGGAAGAGAAGCAGAACTGAWGAAGCTCAGGAAAAGTTGTTTCTTTCTTGCAACACGTGGTAAGAAATATCCATGTTAACTGGCACTGAATTATAATCACAAGATGTTCTTTGCAACACTTCATTTACTAGCAAATTAATGACTGGCCTGAATCAGCCTATCCTTTCCATAATTATGAAGTATAATAATTAGAGAAGCAGTATTCCAAATAATACACTTTATTGGAACCCAAGATTTATAGAAAGACCATAAGAGCAGCCCTATTAATGGGAAGGTAAATTCTGCAGACTGGAGCTGGCTTCAGCTTTGTCTGCATCTTCATTAGGCAGGAATATTCCAGTACTGAGCAAATTGAGASCTATTTTAATTGTCAAAACAGATGTACTTTCTAATGTACTTTCTGATTGAAGAGAACAACTTGTTCCTAAAAACCAAGGATCATAATTTCACCTTGGATTTTTCAGTAAAGTTGGTTGTTTTGAAGGCACTGTGTCATTACAACACACTGAGAGAGGGTTCACAGTGTGGTGGTGGTTTCTTTTTTCCTTAATCTTCGTATAGTGGATTTAGAAAAAGAATAAGAAAGCCAAATGAGAGAGTTTTGAAGCTATCAAGACACTTCAGGATAGCAAAGAGTGAACCCTGGACCATTCCTGACTGGATTGTCTCACAGCAGCGGGTACCACTTGGCRCTGTTGGTGTCTGTCTAATTGCAAATGGCTGGCTGCGAACCTTTCATACTTGTAACTGCAAATAAGCAACTGATTATTAATTCTGATTAGTCATTAGTGATGCTTCATAAATGTACTGCTGCACAAAGAACAGGAGGAAATGTGTGCCCTTCACTTGGAACATGGTCTTCATAATTTCGATAGTGTGTTGTGCAGAAGTGGCTTCAAATACCTCTCGTAGGCTGGGCTCATCTGTTCAGAMAGAGAATGTGGAAGGAATTAGTGGCAATTAAGAAGGGAAAGGCTATAATCTTTTTTCTTAAGAACAATCTCTGAAATACAGGAAGCTAGACTATTAAAAAAAAMMCCAACAAACCACYAGCTACTTCAACTATGTGCAAGATGTGCTGTCCTTTATAACCAGCATGCAACACWCATCCCGAAGGGGACAGCATACTATTTTAACTTCAGAAAATATGCTTAGACTTGATTGTTTGCTGAAGGCAAATTTTGTGTTCAGCTGTAGGATTTCAAAGGGATGCCGATTATCACAGTAAAAATCTCACTCAAGGCCAAATGAGTTTTCAAAGAGAGCAATACATATTTACATCACACAGAATTTTACATTATTCCCAGCATGGATAAATTAAGAAGAGAAAGCGAATGCTGAAGACCATGAAGGATCAAATTGCCTTAACACTTATGCTCTTTCTGGTTAAACATATTATTAAAAACTCCAAGTTTTGCCCTAGTAAAWGTATCAGTGTATAGCAAACACCCCACATTTAGTGCTGTTCCATAATATGTAAATAGACTTTTATTTTAGCTTATTCTGTAAAATGTGAAACAAACGAGTGATACAAAGAGGAATTAAAAGCTCTTGTCTCTTATCTATATTGCCTTTGCTAGAAGAAAAGCAGTTTCTGCTCTGGCTGCTGTGGAAATTGCCCATGCCTACCTGGTTGGTGGGTGACTTCTGAGCCCATTCGTAGAGCCGCTGGTAAGCCTGTCCGTCATAGCTGCCGAGTGCTGAGTTCAGGCTCTTGTCTGTGAAGTCAAAAGCGTCCACCAGTGGCACAGCGTCCTTCCTATGGAGCACAGGAGTGACATTCCTGTTACTGAGAGGGCACTGCTTTCCAAGATGGGAAAATTAAGATAAACTTGGAATTAATTTGCCCAGGTTTCTCAGTCTGGAAAGCTTGTGCCAGTTTTCCTCTTCATCTCTACCGGGGGGAAAATCCTGCTTGTTTTGATTCCTCAGAGGCATCTCTAGATGACCCTGCCTTGGCAAGGAAACTGGACTAGATGATCTCCAGAGGTCCCTTTCAACCCTAACAATTTTGAGATTCTGTGATGTTCTACTTTTCCCCTGAGTTGTCTGCACTGCTGAGTGGGTGTTTGCAGGGTCTTGTAATCACCTGGACTCTGTCCCTAATTCAGGTCACAATCTCATGTCAGATATTTTTTCAGCAGTCTCTGCCAGTTCCTTCTTTTGATTTTGTCTTGTTTTGTTTTCTTTYTCTTATGCTGTAYGTGTTTGTCTTACACAATGGGRTAAGTTTCCTACTGGCCTGAWGTCAAGTTGCTTTGCTGATCTCCAACTTTCATCTACCTTTCACTCTTTCYGTTACCTCCTCACAAGGTGTTGAGGTCTTCTGTTTTCTTCATTTCTGTAARAGCAAAACAACCCTGACCCATGCAAGATCCCATCTAGCCCAGGGGCCAGATGACAGCATGGAGAGCTGGAGCAACAGGCAGCATCTCCTAAGCAGGAGTTGGTTCTTTTTCCTCATCCTCCCATCATCCTGGGTGTAGGAAGTTATGCTGGCTGTACCTCACACCTAAGGTACCAGRATGCAAAGTGGTTTGCTCAAATGCTGGCATTTGCATCTTCGAGTTCCTTTTGGRGAAGGGCTGTTTTGAGGGTTTGGGAAAGGCTGGGTTTTTGCTACAGACCAGGAAGTGATTGTATCCTTTTCTACTAACTGTAAATATTTAAATACTCCATTCTTGAATCCTGTGAACAAGGCATGGACTATCACAGAAGTTGCAATGAATTCCAAAGACAACAGTGTGTTAGGCTTTTGAAAATATTATGTTAAGCTTATCACTTAACTCAGATTCTGCTATCCGTTCTGAAAACCCTTGCTGTTTGGCTCAGCCCGATGGAGCCCTTGCTTATGGCATGTTCTTGTTTCTCTCTAGGTGGCTTAAGTAGAACCTTGGATACAGTAGCAACTCCTCTACACCGTAAGTTACTATGTTCTAAACAAACAGCACTGAGTAATGAAAGCTGAACCCTTTGTCAAAAAGCCACTGCGAGTGTTGTGGTAAGTGAAAACCTTAACATAACTCAGAATTCACAGAGTTGGTGATAAATTGTGCTGAGCAGATGCATCTGAAGTAGCTGTAGGCAGRATTGTTTGGGTACCAGTTGCAGCTCAGCCATGGCAACAGAGTAGGCTGTATTAGCTGTGGCTTAAGCAGATTTTGCAATGTGTGATGGGTTGCTGTGGCTGCCTCCTGCCAGTGTGCTCCGACTACATATTTTCCTGCTTTCACTCTGCTGCAAATGGTAGAAAGTGTTCTGACTTCATATATGATATAAGATTTCATGTTACAGAACGTTAGAGATTRCAGAGGAGTTGGACACTTGGGTCTATTTTGCCATGAAAACAAGCTCTTGAGTAGATATTTCAATCAATTTCTAGTGCTGCCAGGCAATGAAAATAAAAACTGAATGAGGTAAATTGACTGTGGAGATGTTGCCATAGGTACGGCAGCACCCTTTAATATCTGTCACAGGGACAAACTGGAGAGCTGTGTGTGTTCTGCCAGAGCAGCTCACCGAATGACAGCCAGGAGGTCCAGATAGGATGCTGTGACCATGTCCATTTGAGCTGCAGATGTGTATCCATCATGCAAAAAGGCTCCTGTATTCGAGAAGATCCCATGTAGTGCRAAGAGGTCACAGAGATGTTTCATAATCTTCTGGATGCCAGCCTTGGTCTCGAGTTTTTCCACAGTTTCTGCAAAGTTTTTCACTGCAATGTAGTGGCAGTGAGCCTGGAAAACAAATGCAATCAACAGTGAATGCACCTCAAAACACTTTTAGTAGGCCAAGTGACTCAAATGTTCTTGCAAAGAATATAAAACCTTTTCATTTCCCTGGCACTTCTCCAGCCTGTATCCTTTGTTTGCTGGTGACCAGGCCTTTTGCATTCATGGCTTACAGCAACAGAAGACAAAAATGTGTAAACAGTCAACACKGTGGTATTTGTGAACTCCAGAAAACTGCTTCAGAAATCATGATAGTACTTATTCTAAATACATCTAATGAATATCCTGAAGAGTTTGTGTGAAGGAAACACATTGGAATGTGCTTGTGCTGACTGCTAATAAGTGAAGGTTCATTGTACATCAATGGGAGAAAACTTTTGTTGAAGACCTTGGGCTCATGGTGCTTTGGGATCAGTGTCTACAAGGCTTCAGCTCAGGAAACACCATGGTCACAGAAGAACAATCAAATTTRCCTCCCACCTTTTTGGTTTTAAGTAAACTGGTAATTTCTGGGTCAGACACCAGTAGAGTA